TAAAGGTTACATGGGGTTCTCTATACCATCACTGTAATTTTTCTTTAAATTTAAAATTATTTCAAAATTTTTGTAAAGTTTATTTTAAAACCCTTGGTAGAATATAATCCTGAGTTTATTTCTACTTTTTCATTTTCACATATAAACTTAATTTTAAATTTCCAACTGCAATTCAGATGTAAATGTTTTCTCTGAGCAAACAAACCTATACTTGAAAAAGCCAGTTAGATTTTACTTCCCATAAATGATTTAAAATCTAAAAACCTTCCATAGATGCTGTTCCTTCAATTCTCTAACTTATTATTATAAGATCAAATAATTTCAGATATGGTACTTGAAAAAAAGAGGGAGAAGACCCTTTGGTGGCTTGTCTTCAATTTCAACATCCTTAACATTTCAAAACTGATTCGCTTTCAGAGTAGCAGAAGGATTTTAAATGTCAATTTAGTTAAGTTTCAGTAAAAGTCACTAAATGTTCAACTCATGGCTGGATTCTAGTTGAATCATACAGAGGAAGCAGAGGATATGAGTCATAAAAAGGAGGCAGTAAATATGCAAGGACTTCCAAACATCACAGTTTGGGTTCTGGAGTCAGGCAGTCTGGACTCTTGATCCTATTGTGGTTTTGGCATTAATGAATTTCTTTGTGCCTCAATGTTCGCATTTATAAAATGGGCATAATATCTTGACCTGGATGGTAACTGCATACATAAAAAGTCACTGAGATGCACATTTAAATTTGGACAATTTACTATGTAAATAATACCCCAATAAAGCACCAAAGGGAGAGGGAGAGAGAGGCTGGGTATGGTGACTCACACCTGTAATCCCAGCACTTTGGGAGGCGGAGGTGGGCAGGTCACTTGAGGCCAAGAGTTCAAGTGATTCCTACCAACAGGATCCTGGCCAACAGAATTCAAGTTTACCTGGCCAACACTGTAAAACCCCACCTCTCCTAAAAATACAAAAAAGTTAGCTGGGCATGGTGGCACATGCCTGTAACCTCAGCTACTTGGGTGGGTGGCTGAGGCACAAGAATTGCTTGAACTCAGGAGGTTGAGGCTGCAGTGAGCCATGATTGCACCACTGCAGTCCAGTCTGGGCAACAGAGTGAGACTCTGTCTCCAAAAAAAAAAAAAAAGGGAGATAGAGGAGAAAGAGGAAAAAATACAATTTTTATCTATTATATATTATAAACACAAGTTTGAAGACTTATGGAAGAAAAATAAATTTAAAAATCCAACTTCAAATGGTAATAACTGAGAATATGTTTCAGTTCACGTTGACATACTTACATAAAACAATAGAGAAACTAAAGTTTGACTTTTCTTTTTTTTTTTTTTTTTTTTTTGTGACAGAGTCTTGCTCTGTCACCCAGGCTGGAGTAACTGTGTATGTAAAAAGTCATTGAGATGCACATTTACATTTGGACAATTTACTACATATGTGTAAATAATACCCCAATAAAGCACCAAAGGGAGAGGGAGAGAGAGGCTGGGTGCAGTGGCTCACGTCTGTAATCCGACCTCACTGCAACCTCCACCACCTGGGTTCAAGGGATTCTTCCACCACAGCCTCCCGAGTAGCTGGGATTACAGGTGTGTGCCACCACGCCCAGCTAATTTTTGTATTTTTAGTAGAGACAGGGCTTCACCATGTAGGCCAAGATGGTCTTGATCTCTTAACCTCATGATCTGCCCGCCTCAGCCTCCCAAAGTGCTGGGATTACAGGCATGTGCCACTGTGCCTGACCCCACCTCAAAATCTTGGTGGAACAAGGCTGGTTCTATATTTTCAAAATCAGTCTGGTTATGATTATGATTATCTAACTATTGGTTGGAGTTATCAATAAAATACTGCATATCTCTCAAGCATACATCAAAAAGATGATTCTAAAAAATAGTCATAGCAGAGTTACTATGACTAGTTACCTGTTTCTTTAGGGATTCATCCCTGGGGAGGGATGTTTCAGCCTCATAACTTACCAGCAGGACACACAAGACACAGGCTGGAGACATCTGATGGGTAGTAAGCAGCATACACCCCAGCCACGTGGCCGCCCATGGAGGTGCCTATCAGGTGGAAAGGTTTTTTGTTCAGCTTGAGGCATTCTACAAACTAGGAAGGGAAATGAGAAAGCAGCTTGGTTATACAGCTGTAGACAATGACAATGGTGATTACAGCATAGAAACCCCCTGGGCTTCCTATGGAAAACTGAAAATGACTACTGTTTAAAGAGAGTCTGAAACTCTACTGGATCTATTATAAGATGAGCACTGTGGCATGTACAGACTTCTCTTTATCTGGCACAATAGATTGAGAGGTCATTTATAAATATAAAATTAACAGGGATTCTGCTAATTAATGAGTCAGCAAACTTTTCTTTCTTTTCTTTTTCTGAGACAGGGTCTCACTCTGTTGCCCAGGCTGTAGTGCGGTGGAGTGATCACCAAGGTTCACTGCAGCCTTCACCTTGGGGCTCAGGAGATCCTCCCAGCTCAGCCGCCTGAGTAGCTAGAACTACAGCCATGTACCACCACATCTGGCTAATTTTTTTTTTTTTGATGAGGTTTCACCATATTGCCCATGCTGATTAAATTTTTTATAAAGGTCCAGAGAGTAAATATTTTCTTCTTTGAGAGCCATATAATCTGTTGCAACTATTTAACTCTGGTGTTGCAGACAAAAGCAGTCAAAGGCAATATGTATTAAATAAATGAATCAGTGTGTCTGTGTTCCAATAAAATTTAGTTTACAAAAATAGGTACAAGCTAAACATAGTTCATGGGCTGTACTTAGAGGGCTCCTCCCCTAATTTAAAGCTCCTCTCGTCCCTCTAACCATCCATTTATCTATTCAACCACCCATCCATCTGACCATCCATCCATCTATCCATCCAATCATCCAATCAGCCATCTACTCACCTATTCACCCATCTAAAAAATATTTATTGGCTATCTATTATGTGTAGGAAACTATGATTAGATGTTGAAAACACAGCAAAGAGCCAAAAAGACAAGGTTCCTGGCCTAATTTAAAGAACACTTTATTGGAGGAAGCAGATATTAAATATCCTCATTTGGGGAAAGTACTTAAGGTCGGCCTGAAACTTATGGGCTACCACATTCTGAAATGGCTCATAAATTCCTATGACCTTGAAGACCCAGCCAGAGAAGGCTAGAGCTCGATTCTAAAATAGGTGCTAGCAATAGATACTAAAGCAGGTTATAATGTGAAGAACACCCTCCCCAGCTAGGCAGAGGGGCTATTACTGTTATCATATAGCTGGTAAACAGAACAATAGATCCCTAGGGAGGGAACTGGTTTTAAGAAATTCTAAACCCCTTTCCAAAGAGTTGACAAAATGCTCAGATTGTATTTCATTACAAACAACTGCCAATAGGCTTAGAGTTGAACAGTCTGTAATAGGCCCTGGCCCTCCATTGCCAACCAGAGATATCAGGTTGCCATTTGGCTTCAATCACTTGTAGACAGGCTATACCAGAAACGGGTCAGGAGGTAGCATGTGACTCTCTTCCCTGCTCTCCAGCCTTGGACATGCAATAGTGGCTGAGACAGTCTGGGCAATCTTTGGTGGAGCCTTCTGCTTACCTGGTGTATCCTCTTGACTTGCCCATCTATGGACAGGTCATCCAGGGAGGAGCGGGTAGTGCCCTCATGTCCTGGCATGTCCACGCAGATCAAGTGCAGGTTCTTTGGAAGGAACTGAGGACACACAGACCCAAAGAGTCAGTATGTGGTGTACCAAACATGTCTGCCCATTTTCTTGGGAGGATGCCCCATGTACTAAGTGACCTGGACAGCCATCCCTGGGGATGTATGAGTCTTGGCCACTCAGTGCTTTTTTTTGTTTTTTTGAGATGGAATCTTGCATTGTCACCTGGGCTAGAGTGCAATGGCATGATCTTGGCTCACTGAAACCTCTGCCTCTCAGGTTCATGCAATTCTCCTGCCTCACCCTCCCAGGAAGCTGGTATTACAGGTGCACATCACCACGGCTGAATAATTTTTTTATTTTTTTGCATTTTTAGTAGAGATGGTGTTTCAGTATGTTGGCCAGGCTGGTCTCGAACTCCTGACCTCATGATCTGCCCGCCTGCCTTGGTGTCCCACTGCAAGTGGCTGGCCACTAAGTGTTTTACCCCAATAATGTGAATAAGCATTGCCAGTATCCTCATTGGGAGCAGAGGCCCCCAAAGACTAATACATAGATGGAGGCAGGCTCAGGAGATGCCTGTAAAAAGGGGACAAAGTCGGGGCAGCAGGCTTAAGTCTCTTGCTGTTTCTTCATACCAGTTGACACGTACTACCTCCTCCTTTCCCCTACCCCTTCCACACTTACTCCAGCCATGCAGCTGCTGACTTGGAACTGGAAAGGATGGTTCTGTTCTCCCATATCCTGGCCAGCTCCAGAGCCAACAGAAGCAATGTTTTCCCCAAGAATCACGTCTGATCACCCCGATTCTGGTTTGTTTGGTTTCTTTTTACATCAAGGTCTAATTCTCAAAATTATTCGTATCCTAAAACACCTTCTTCCATTTAGATATGTACCACTTTTAACCAGGAAACTGAGAAACATAAGTTACCAACAAATGAACATCCAGTTAGAAGAAAGATGCTTACTGAGGAGGCGGGCAGAAAGTAAGGGGTTCATCAAGGCATGAAGACGACCGTCCTCATAGTGGAATTTGGAAATAAGAACACAAGTAACTAGAGGCTGTGTGAGTCCTTTCCTCCTGGTGGAGATGATACTTGGGATCCCTCAGGTATGGTCTTGCCTGAGGTGGGAGCCAGGGATGCTTTCTGCTCAAGACTTCCGCCAGCCTCAACGTTCATAGCTGATCACGCTTACCAAGGGCAGCAAGTTGCCACACCCAAGTAAACCAAGACAAAAAGTGACTTGGAGAACTCTTCCAGAAAGCTGCCAGATCAAGACTGTTTCTCTAAATGGCAAAGGAAAAGAAAAAAATGGGTGTAGAAGAGGGAGTGGGAAGGAAAGGCAAAGAAAGAGTGAAGGAAGAAGACGGAGGGGAAGGAAGTGAAGAAACTTGGAGTACAAAAAAACAAATGACTCTTTAAAAGGCCAACTCTGCCAACTCTGATCATCATAGCAGTTCTGAGATATAGCTGTGTCAGAAACCTCCCCAAAGAAATATCCATGAGGTGAAAAGATTTCTAAGCCATAGGTTTTATATATAATATTCAACACAATTCATTTTTTTTCTGACAAAAGAAAGAGGAACATATTGCATTAGCTTGTTGTTGTTGTTGTGGTTTGTTTGTGTTTTTGAGACAGAGTCTTGCTCTGTCACCTAGGCTGGAGTGCAGTGGCGTGATCTCTGCTCACTGCAACCTCCGGCTCCTGGGTTCAAGTGATTC